TCCTGAGCACTGCTGGGTGTGACCTCTGCCCACCCCCTCACCCCATCCCCACAAAGTTAGAGGTAGTTTGACTTGGTATTTTTGCCCTAAATTTTTCATTTGAGAAGAAAAATCTCTTGTCAGCTCTGCAGGTTAGTGATGAGACCGTGAGTTTTCTCAGACTTTTTGTCCCAAACTTAAGTCTTCTTGATGCTGCTTGATGTTCCCTGATGCAGTGCACGCATGGCACTGCACTGCTTTCTCGGACAGGAACTGCCTTTCCCGTGTTGAGGACAAAAAGTTTCTTCAGACACAGCTTTTACAGACCCGTGGGATACTGAGCTCTCCTGAAGGGGGGGTGGGGGGCATTGGGAGCACCGGGGTGGACTCCCAGGCCAGACTAGCCCCTCCTCCCCAGGAGTAAAGGGAACTTCCCCCTCACGTTTTACTGCAGTGATTAGACTCAACCCACATGCTGAAGGCCATCGGACAGGAAGCGACCTCTTTCTTCTTAACAAAATGAAGCTGTGGACCCCTCCCTTAGCAGGTGACTCAGCCGGTCAATGATTTTTCTCAAAGGTGAAGAATTGGAGGCACAAGATCATGAAGTTTGCTTCCAAAATCAGGAAAGAAGTTCTGAACACGACCTAAGGTCAGCCTGATCAGACTCTCCCAGAATCTTGGTAGGAAAAGTGTTTGGGGAAACAGTGCTCCTTTGTGTCCAAGGGAAGCGTTTTTTTCTCTGCACCTGGGGTGTCGCGAAGGGAGCCTGACGTGAGAGGCCCTGAGTTTGATTTCTGGAAACACACACTTTCCTTTGAGCCATACCAGGTAGAGCCCTGTGGTTTTTCCCAAAGCATGGAGACTTAGGCACTGCAGCCCAGCCCATGATGATGATGATGATGGACGAGAAGAAGACAAACCCCCCAGAGACCTCAGAAAGGTGTCACAGATAGCGATGAAACAGAGGCAGATCCCTGGGTTCTCCTGCTTCCTACTACATCCGTGTCAGCTTCTGCCTGGTGAGACTCGAGCATGGAAACCCCTCTTTGTTGCCTGGTGGCACTGCCTTGGGCTAGGAATACTAGGAGCACCCACTTTTTGGGGTTCCTAGGTCTGCAGGGCGCCATTCAGTGAGTGCCACCAGTTGTTACATTTGTCTTGGTTTATTGTTATTTTGGGTCACAAGCTTCTGTGTCTCTAAACTCAGGAGCTTCCCTGTGGTGGTGCTCAGGAGAACCCGTCTGCTGTCCGGAGACTGAGCCTGGGTCAGCTGCATGCAAGGCCAGCACCATCCTGCTGCCCAGTGTGTCTACCCAACTCCTTAGATCAGTCCCCTCGACTCACCTTGGATTCTCGGGGTCCCTGCAGGGCGAGCCTGCAGATGGGACAGGCTCATTCTCCACCTTGTCTGGAAACCTGGGGGGAGGCTAAAGTGAAGTCTTCTTAGTTTTCAGGGAGGAGACAGCCTGAGGCTGGCAATGGGCCCCGTTTTGCCAACATGTGCTCTGTGGGGCTAATGTGGTATTTGCCTTATTTGGAGCTGTGTGTGGATGCTGGGAACTGAGCTGCTGATCACTGAAAAGAGGGAGAAAGTGGAGAGGGGCGCAGGCATTGGTTTGCTATGGGTGGGTTCCAGCTTGAGTCCCAGCAAACCATGTGGTCCTCTGAGCACTGCTGGGCACAGCCCTGTACCCCCCCAAACCCTCTAGTAGGGGGACGGCCCAGGCTGGCCCTGGCACTGCAGGGCCTGAGCAAGCACCTCATCCTTGAACCCGCATTAAACCACGAGACTTGCCAGGCCTCCAGTCTCTAAGGCCTGACACTCATCCTTGACTTGTAGGAGCCCAAAGTTTAAGCCCTGGCACCGCCTCGTCCCCCCAAAACCTGTCAGGAGTGACCTTTGAGCACATGCAAATATGTCCCCCTTCAAAAAAAAAGAACGAAAATAAGCAAAAATATTTAGAAAAATTAAAGACTGGAGCCAGAGAACAGCAGGGAGGGCGCTTGCCTTGCATGTGGCCCACCCGGGTTACCCTCGGCATCCCATATGGTCTCCTTTGGCCTCCATGGGTGATCCCTTAGTGCAGAGCCTAGAGTCACCCTGAATACCGCTGAGTGTGGCCCCAAAACAAGCAAACAAAAAACAATTGGAAAAATTCTGGGTTTTCACTCCAGCCTTGTACCCACTCTCCCTTCCCCTAGGGTGGGCTGCAGAGAACTGCCTGCCCAGTTTACCTCAACACCCCTTGTTAAAGGGCCCAAGAGAAGGGAGTTGGGTCCAAGGAGCACAGATGAGGCAATGATGGGTCCTGAGTTTAAGTAAAGAAAATGGCAGTGGGACTGGAGCAGGTAATGTGTTTGTCTGGCCTGGGGTCTGTCCCCAGCATCCCATACGGTCTCCTGAACACTGTCAGGTAATTCCTGAGCATAGAGCCAGGAGTAACCTCTAAGCATCACCAGGTGGATTTCAAAAACTAAAAAAAAAAAACAAAAAAAACCCAATAGCAACAACAACAAAAAGACAGGGCCAGGCTGGGTCATAGGGAGTATCAAACACAGGCCAGTCAATGGCCAGTGTGTCAACTTTGCCCCTGAAACCGGTCATTGAGTGGGAAGGAAGGTTCCAATGGGACACAGTATTGATAACTATTATTGTCAGTATTAATTACTAATAGCCAATAAACATCACCTGATTATCACCATCAGTTGCTATTGATCACTAAGTTACTAATTATTTTTAACCATTAAGTAATTGTTAACCATTAAGCCATAATATAAATGGTTAATTTCAAGCAGTAATAATCAACGGTTATTAACTATCATAAATCATTAGTATTGATTTGTGGAAACCAATAATGAATCGCTGATCACTATTAGTTAATACCAACAAACCACTGTTAACGCTCAGTTATTTAAATCTACCAATCGTAATCAGCAATGATTTAACTCTTAATCATTATTGGGTTATTAAATGAGTATCAGTCAATTACTTATTGGTTATCAGGGTATCTGAGTGAGAATCCTTGGGGACTGCTAAGTTCAAATTTCTGGGGGAGGGGACATGGTGGGGTGCCGAAAGGGGGCCGAGTGCAAGGAGAGAACAAACCCACGCAGGTCCAAGTGCAGAGACTGAAGTCAGCATTTTCCACTTTAATAAGTTAGAGAATGAGGCGTACAATTGTCCTGTAATGTGAGCGGGCACGGGGAGTGGCCCCCAGGAAGGTGTTTTGAGGGGGCAGAGGGGTTACAGCCTGGGGGGCCAATCTCCCAGTGCCCTGGAGGAGGCCGGTGCCATTGCCACAAAGGCGCGAGGCTCTCCCAGGAGGAGGTGTCTTGGATGGCAGAGAGGACTTCTGTGCCCCGAGACCCCCAGATGGAGCGAGGCTGGTGCCGTGCAGGTCCCTGAGGCCCAGGGCTGCCGAACTTGGGGAGGAGGAGAGCGGAAGCTTGCTCTAGCAGGAAGACTCCTACCAAGACCCACTTGGGCTATCTCTCGGGGCTACCCTAGAATCACCCCCAGGCATGACTGGATTCAGCCCCCCAGCTTTCCCCATCTTGGGCAGTGCCCCTGCATCAGACAGTGGGTGGGCGGGGGGCAGATCCATTCTACCCCAGTTCTGCCTCATCCCCACTCCTGGATCCAGACACATCTTGGCCCCCAACATCTCATTTCCAGAAGGGGTGGTCACCCCTACAAGTGTCCCGCAGTGGGGGGGAACCCTTTCCTGCCCCTTCATTCCCTTCTCTTCCTCCTGAAGTGCCCCTTACCCACCAAGTGGGGAAAGTGCCAGTGGTGAGAAAATGGGGTTCCCCACCTCTCAGCCTCCCTCTGGGGGTGGGCTCCCTAGAGATGCCGCCAGGAACCTCTGGGGAAAGCCTTTGGGGCCCCTTAAAAAAGGCCAGACTGGGGTTCCCCAGCTAAGCAGCCAGGGACATGCCAGTGTGGAGCTAGGGGCTGTCGAGGGCGACCCAGTGATCCCAGGAGCACCCCCTTACCCGCAGGAGCCCTGCTGTCAGGAGGTGGAGGGGGGCTGGGTGCTTTTCCAGACAGAGGGGTGGGGCCCACCTACCTGATGGAAATGCAGCCCGAACTCCAGAGTGTAGGGGGGTGGGTACCCCCACATTCTCCACCCTCAGAACAGCACCAGATTGTGGCTGGAGAGTCCAGATCCACAGGTGTCCCCAATTATTTTCAGGTGCCCTTCCAGAATTCTCCTGACACATCTAGATGTGGGAGAGCAGAAGTGGGGGTACTCTTAGGACAGGGAGACCTGGATACTCCCATCCAGCCCCTCCAATGGGGTCGGGCCCTGGTTGCCACTGCACATGGCCGTCACCTGCTTGGTGGATGAGAGAATGCACCCCCAGTCCTTGGGGGTCCCCAGAGGTAATGTGAGACAGAGCCAGGAGTAAGCTGTCCTCAGTACCTGGGGCTGGGGACCTGTGAGACATTCCCTGTCCAGCACCCGGGAGGATTGAGAACACCCAACACTTGGGGGTCCTCTGGGGAATTGAGATATGCCCCCTCCAGCACCTGGGGCTCTTTTGAGGGATTGGGACACACCCGCTCCAGCACCCGGAAGTCCCCTGGGGGATTGGGACATGCCCCCTCTGGCACATGGGGGATCCCCTGGGGGATTGGAACATGCCCCCTTCAGCACCTGGGGCTCCCTTGGGGGAATGGGACAGACCCCCTCCAGCATTTGGAAGTCCCTTGGAGTATTGGAACATGCCTCCCAGCACCTAGGGGTCCCTGGGGGTTATGACACACCCCATCCAGCACCTGGGGGTCCCCTGGGGGGTTGGGACACACCTTATCCAGCACCTGTGGGTCCCCGGGGGATTGGGACATGCTCCCTCCAGCACCTTATGGGGCTGCACCTTTTGGGGCTTGGGTCCGAAAGGTCCTGGTCTCTCCGGACTGGTTCCCATCACTCTCTGCCTGCCCCTCTTCCCGCCACTCAACAGGTTCTAGAACATTCCGGGACCTGAACATATGGCTGTTGGCCTTCACCCTGTTTCCTAGCAGGCCACAGGGCCAGGCTAATCCTGGGAAGGGAGTTGGGGGTCGCTCTTGAAGCAAGAAAGAAGGGGGCGCTCGGGGGCTCTCTCCACTTTATTGCATCTTTGGGTGCTTCTCCTGCCGCCTCTTCTCCTCCATGAGCTCCTGGATGCGCCGGTTGCGGGTTTTCTCGTAGCGGCTGGGGCGCCTCGGGATGAAATTGCCCACGTCTGGGCTGGGGGTCTTATAGGGCCCATCTACGGCGTTGGTCTCGGGGCGCTCCTCAGTGGCGTTAGGGCGCGAGGCGTTGAGAGGAGTCTGCAAGAGGGTGGGTGCTGGGTGGGTGGGCTCCGTCTCTTCCTGCAGGCGGAGGGTGGGTACTGGGTGGGTGGACTCTGGTTCTTCCTGCAGGTGGAAGGTGGGTGCTGGTTGGGTGGGCTCTGGTTCTTCCTGCAGGTGGAGGGTGGATGCTGGTTGGGTGGGCTCTGGTTCTTCCTGCAGACGGAGGGTCGGTGTCAGGGGCGTGGCCTCCGGCTCCTCCTGCAGGATGTCGTTGTTTGTCCGTGGGGGCGGCAGCGGCTGGGCACGGTCATCCCAGTGGGTCTGGTTCCCCTGCAGGCCGCAGGACTGGCAGCAGAGCTTGTGGTAGCCCTCGATGGAGCAGTAGCGCGACAAGACCTCCATCTTGCAGAACATGGACTTGTCCCCTTGGCAGCGGCCCTCTGCAAGAGAAGAGGGCACACGTCACCACAGCCCAGGCGGGCAGGGACTGGGAGGGGTGGCGGCTTGCAGGAGGTGCTGGGGGAGCCCAGAGACAGTGCTGGAGAGAAGCAGGTGCACGGGGACGGGGGATGCTCCCAGTGGGGGTGGGGTGCAGGCACCGAGCTGCGAGCAGTGCCCCCTCCTCCAAGCAGACCTTTTAGGCGCCTCTCAGTGTAGGAGATAAGAGCAGGCCTGTGGGGGGTGCAGAGCGAGCATCCTGGGCCAGGTGAAATGCTGGGGCAGAGGTAGACTCAGCTGCTGTCTGTAAGCAGCAACTACAACCTACGCAAACCCGGGAGAGTCAGTCCCGAAAGCCGTGTGGGGCAAATCCCAGAGGCTGGCTTTTCCCACTTTGGGATTTATGTTTGGAAGTGGAACCACATCAAGCGATGCTGCAGGGCTACTTCTGGGGCTGTGCTCAGCGGCGCCCCCTAGTGGTGTTTAGAGACGATTCCAGGCTCTGTGCTCAGGAGTGCTCCCTGGAGGTGTTTGGGGAACATTGAGATGCCAGGGATTGAACTGGGAAGGCAAGGGCCTTTAGCCCCTGTCCTATCTCTCTGAACCCCACAGAATTCTTAAAATCTTTTTATTGCTTCGTAGGTCACACCTGGTGGTGCTCAGGGCTTACTCCTGGCTCTGTGCTTGGGGTTGACTCATGGCGGGGCTCAGAGAATCACACTTGGCTCTGTGCTCAGATATCGCTTTTGGCTCTGTGTTCAGGAATCACTGCTGGCAGGACTCAGGGGACCTTATGAGGTGCCAGAAATAAAATCCAGGTTGGCTGGATGCAACCAACTGCCTTCCCAGTTGTACTATCTCTCTGGCCCTCACACAATTGTTTTTAGTTTTTGGGCCACACTGGCTTGTGCTCAGGGATCATTCCTGGCGGGGATCAGGGGAATCCATGGGATTTCGGGGATCAAAGCATACAAAGCAAACACTCCACCGACTGTACTATTACTCTGACCCCCACACAATTTTTGTTTTAAAAAACACTAGACATTGGGAGAGGAGGGGGAAAAAAAAACTAGGCATAAAGATTGCATCCCTACCCCTCCCACTCCAAATTGGCATCAAATCTGCAATAGGGATGCAGTGATTTAAGGTATTGGCTGCCTTATCAATTTTTTACTTAACTGGCTCCCAACCAATCTACCATAATTATTCTCTGCTGGGTTTTGGGGTCAGACTCCATGGTGCTCAGGGCTTACTCCTCGCTCAGGACCAGAGTGGGGGGTGGTTACTCCTGCTGATGCTCAGTGGGTCACGGGGTGCTGGGGTTTGAACCTGATCTCCCCCCAGGCCCAGCCGCGTATTCTCTCCATGTACCCTCTCTTCTCTGAGCATCTCTGCAAGAGAGCAGGAGAGGGGCAGGGCCACCTCTGACGTCTACTTACGTCTGATGAACATCTTCTTCAGCACTTCTGGCAGTCCTGCCACATCCAGAGATAGTGGGCTTAGGTTCCCCCCCACCACTGCCCCCTGGTGACACACGAGACCACCTCCGTCTCCCAGAAATTCACACGTTCCGCGTAGGGCGCGTAGAAATCTCCCAAGCAATGCAAAGCAGGGCTGAGCGGTTCCCATCCCATCAGCGATTCTTGCCCAGCTTGTCAGATTCAGTGCAAAGTGCAGGGTGGGATAGGGAGAGAGGCCTCCAGAGATGCAAAGTCACACCGGAGTGCAGCAGGGTGGGAGAGGGAGAGAGGCCTCCAGAGATGCTCCTCGCAATGCTGTGTGTGTGTGGAGGGACTCGACGGTGCAGGTGAGTGAGGATTCGAACGACATTGCTGCCTCATGTGCACTGAATCTTTGTACTATCTCCTGGGCCTTGATTGTCTTTCCTGGCACCCACAGCACTCAGGGGATCAAACTTGGGGCCTTATGAGCTGCCCAGATCAGCTTCTTTGGATCTGTTTTGAGCTTGCTGTCAGGACGCTCTTGCTGACCTGAGGCTGTGCCTCTCCTTTCCCTTCGCCCTAGTACCCCCTTATCTCCCCTCTCCCCAGACACAGTTTCAGGGTGCCCAGGGACCCCCACTTCCTGGGAGCGTGGGGCTCCCCTGGGATTCAGGCCAGGTAGTAGAGGCCGACCTTTCCACTTCCTGTCTGTGAACATCCCCTAGGTGCTCAAATGCTTAAATCAGAAGGGGGAAAAGGTGATGAGGGGCTGGGAATGATTTTCACAGATGGGGGCACTGTTGTTGGACCCCGCGCTCCTCAGAGGAAGGAAGGAAGAGGAAGAGCGGAACCCCACACAGGGATGAGAGCAGTTCAAGAGACAGCCTGGTATTTCCAGCTCAGGGACTTGGCCCATCACCTGGCACTGGGTTTGTGGGGGAATAAAAGGGAAGGGGTGAGGATGGGGGAGCTGCGACTACCTCTTCCAGGCAGGCAGGATTCTGGGGTCCCATTTCCTTTGAATTGGGGCTCGGGTTTGTTTATGCGCTGAACAAAATTAAAAATATCCCAACAGAGGAGAGAGACCTGTACAGAGCAGAAGGTGCTTTGCCTGGCATGAGACCCACACGAGGTTCCATCCCCAGCACCCCGAGTCTTTCCTACTCACACGCCCCAAATTAGAAGAATGAAAAATTGGCCACTTTGGAATTGAGCGTGAGATGGGGAAAGTCAGAGAACGGCCCCTCCCCCACAATCCCAGGGACTCGCTGTCCTGTTAGTTGGGGGACTACAGCCCCATCACCCCATTTCTGGGATTTGTGCTTAAGGACTGTCACCAGCCCCAGCTGAGTCATTTTGCTGGTGGTGGATGAACTCACCCAAGGACCTCAGGGTTCCCCAACTCACCAGCACCCCTAGGTCGGCTCTGTCCTCACACCTGCCATAGGGTCACCTTCTGCCTTATTCTCTGTTTGGCAGAGGGGCTCTCACCCCCATCATACGAGGGGGCCTGGATCCTTAGGGGGCAGTGCATGGCTCCCTGTCCCACTGCTGGTGGCCAACCCGCAGCTTGCTTTTCTTGGTGGGTGTCTGGATACACTTTCCACCAGGACACCCTAGGGCGACTCCAAAGCAGGGAGCTGGAGGTTGCCCCTAACCCCCACTGGATCTCTGCTACCCTCCATCACCCTCCCTCCCCCAGGAGAGAGCCACTGGCCCATTCTCTGCAGAGTTGCCTAGTTCAGCACGAAGGATCCAAATGCAAGAGCAGCAAGGTGGAATGTCCTGGAATGGGAAAATGCTCAGGGGGAACCCCAACATCTCGCTGGAGCCAGACGTACCCCCAAACCTACTCAAGCCCAGATTCACTGCCCACAGCACTGCCTTGGCACGGCTCAGCCCAGGGGTGGGGTGGCGGTGGGGACAGAAAGAAGCAGGAGGAGCAGCCACACCGCAAGCACCCAGTTTCACGGGACTTTTATTGAGTTTATTAGGGGGTGCATCACACGGAGCCTTTTCCGCAGGAGGCGTGGGGTGAAGGCTGAAGGGGAGAAAGTGGATTTTCACAGTCACTTTGGCACACACTAAACGTCTTATAGAAAACAAAAACTCGGCGTGGGCGGGGGGACATGGCGGCTGGGGCCTGAGAGGCGCCGTCATCATCATCATCATCATCATCATCATCATCATCATCATCATCATCAACAACAACAACATCATCATTATCATTGAAGCATTAACAAAAGGCGAAGGAAAGATCCCTGATGTGCTTGGTGCAGCCAGAGCGCCCCCCTGCCGGCCGGCGCCCCACGCCCGCCCACCCCGGCTAGTCCAGGAGAGCAGTTAACAGTCGAGAGAGACAGAGAGAGAGAGAGGGAGAGAGAGAGAGAGAGAGAGAGAGAGAGAGAGAGAGAGAGAGAGAGAGAGGGAGTCGGCTGCACATACCCGAGTATTTACATTAACAGTAGTCAGCGCCAGGGTGCGGGAGGCCAGCGGAGCGCTGTGCGCGGAACGGGGGGCGCGGGGGGGGGCGCGGGCAGCGTGTCACCCTCGGTAAGGCAGCTGTCAGAACGCCCTGCGGGCCTCCAAGCAACAGTCGCTGCCAGCGGGCAGCTGGGGACACCAAGGGGCTGGCGGGTGCCCGGTGCCCCGAGGCGGGAGGCGGGGCGAGGAGGGGGCACGCCGGGGCCGCCTGGGTTTGGCAGAAGGTGGAACCGGGCCGCCCCCCACCCCACCCCACCCTCCTCCCTGGAAGGCGGCGAGCCCCCCGCCCTCAGAAGCCCATCTGGTGTGACCGGGGAACTTTAAGGCATTTTTTCCCTTTCTCTCTACAGTTTTCTCTAAGCTCAGAAGCAATAAAAATTGAGGTAATTCTGTGGTTGTCTGACGGCGGCAGGCGGCCGCGGGCGCTGGGCACTGACACAAGGCCACGGGAAGCACACACCCGGCACGGCGGCGGGCACCCCGCGGGAGGCTCGGGACCCCCACCCCCACCCCGGCTCTGTCTCCCCAGTGAGCAGCGGCGGCGTGGTGGGGGTGTGGGTAGAGGGGGAGAGGGTGGTGGGGTCGGCCCTCGAGGTCCCACCGGCAGCTTCAGCTTGGAGGAGTCCCCTTTCAACTCCAGCCTGGGCCCCTCGGCCCACATGACAGATCTTTGCCCCTTGACAAGCCAGCATGGGGTGCCCCCGGGGCCGTGCCCCCTTCCTGGCCGTGAAGCCACGCCCCGTGAGACACGCCCACACGAAGCCACGCCCCGGAGACCACGTCCCAGGTCGGGCACCCCAGGAGACCACGCCCCCTGGAGGCCACGCCCCCAGGAGGCTGCACAGTCAGCTCCAAAACCAGACAGCAGCCGAGACAGGCGAGAGCCACAGGCCGGGAGCCGACAGTCAGCCGAGAAAAGCGCTCAAGGTGGTGCTGGTCAGGGGAGCTTTCCATAGAGAGAGAGAAGCGGAGCCCAGGGCAGAGCCCACAGCGCACAGGGCATGCGCGGAAGGGCGGGGGCAAAGTTATAAACCGGCCGGTTACTTGAGGAGCTCTTCGGCCCGGGGGCGTCGGGGTCTGGGCGCGACAACCACTGGACCACGTAGCTCTTCTTCGATGGGTCCGAGAGGTTTCCTGAGGGGGGAGGGAGGAGAGCAGAGCTTCAGCACGGGACAGCCTGACTCAGGGGGTCCCAGTAAGGCTTTACTGGAAACATGTGCCCCTCTCCTCCTCCCCACTATGGGGGGGTCCCATCTCTCAGTCAACGGGACTTTCCTCTTTAGTTGTTTCAGGGACGCACCTGGCTGGGTGCCCCCTCCATGTCACACCTGGGAGGTGTGCATTCATGACCCGGGGCCCTGGGAACCCTGGGGAACCCCAGTCTGGCAAAAATGTCCTGTGGGCGCGGGGGTCAGGGGCTGAGTCTGTCCTCTCTTCTCCCAGGAGAGGGAGCATGGTGGGGGCTCTAAGCTTATGAATGTGGCATTCTGCTCCCTCCAAGCCCTGCCCAGGTGCCAGGAGAGAGGAGAGCATACTTCCAGGGTCAGGACAGCAGGGGACATACTTATGGGAACAGGACAAAGGATGGAACAGCAGAGATGTAGTTGCAGGGAGGATGCAGCAGGGGGCATCATTATGAGGATGGGACAGCAGGTATGTATGTAGCTATGGAAACAAGACAGCAGGGGGCATTCTGACAGGAACAGCAGCAGGCATGTAGCTACAGAGACTGGACAGCAGGGGGCATTGTGGTGGGGGATGAGACAGTGGAGTGCGGTGTGGCAGAGAGTAGACAGCAGGGCCATCCTTACTGGTATGGGTAGCAGGATGTGTACTTAGAGACTGGACAGCAGGTATAGTGACAAAGAGCAGGCAGGATAGGGTACAGTTACAGAGAGCCAGGCAGCAGGGTGTGTCATGGCCCGTATGGGCATCCGGGGGTGTACTTGCGGGGACAAGACAATAGGGGGAAGAGTCACAGACTCACAGAGGGGGTGAGGGACAGCAGGGATGTAGTTCCAGAGAGCAGACAGCAAGGAGAGCGATGGTGGGGCTGGGAAGCAGGTCACACTTACGGAGACAGGGGCCAAGCCTGCAAATCCGGGCTGTCTCAGGCCGCGCCTCCCGGCAGACTCCAAAGCTGTCATCTGTGGTGCGGCAGAGCACTGGCCGCTCCTGTGTGCCGTTGCCGCAGGTCACTGAGCACTGTGAGAGTGGAGTAGAGTGGTCACTTATGATCCCCTGCACTGTTAGGGCGGGTGTCAGAGGACCTGCTATACCCTGGGACTACTTGGAGGAAGTCCAGGAGATCTTACACACACACCAGAGAAGAGCCTCTAGAGGAAGCAGCTGCACCCAAACCTCACCCGCCTGTCCTAGAACGTTCTGGGTCTGACTTCAGCACTGGCCCTTGGACAGCTCCCAGGAGCGCCCAGTGCACACCTGAAGGTCTGCACAGGTGCTATTTCTGCTGCCTCACTGGCGTCACTTGCAATAGTTACCGAGACCTGCTACGGTGTACTGGCCCTCAAAAGCTTTGGACACTCAAGTGTGTTTATGCATGTAGGGGTGAAATATGTCACACGTGATTTCCACTTTGATGCTGTAAAAGGGTCAGGACACCACTGAAAGGGATGTCTTGAAGCCAGGATTTCCTGTCTGGGTCTCTTCTGACTTGACCCACAAACCTCTCCTTGTGCTGATTCTCTGCTCTGCTTTATTTCGGGAAACTAGGTCTCCTAAAACTGCAGCCATTGGAGTCAGTTCCCAATCCCTCCTTGATGCTTTTAATGTCTAAATCAGCGGCTTTCAAGCATCAGTCCATGAAGCAGCTGGCCCGGTGTGAAAAGGTCCAAGGATGAGACGCTAAATTGAAACTGAACAAAGAGCTGGATTTTCTGAGACAGGCCAGTGAAATGCTGAGTCCGAGCTGCTCCTGGGGACCCTGAGTGGTGGGTGGTGGGCATATCAGCACTACCCCATCCCTTGAACTCACCCTCGCGTGTGCCTACACGGCTAACCTCCCCAGACCCCCACCTGGGACCTGTTCTCCCATTACCAAGCGCAGGATGGGATCACCCTCCTGGGGCTCGCAAGGTTCCATTATCATGGAAGGGCGGGGCTTATCTGGGGAGGGCGGGGTTTCTCTGGGAGGGGCGGGGTTTCTCTGGGAAGGGCGGGGTTTCTCTGGGAGGGGCGGGGGTTTCTCTGGGAGGGGTGGGTTTGCCCAGGAAGGGTGGGGTTTGCCCGGGAAGGTGGTGCTTATCAAGGAAGGGTGGAGCGTGCCTGCCAAGGGGTGGGGCTTACATGAGAAGGGATGCAGTTTCTTCCGCAAGGGTGAGTCGAGGCTTACCTGGGACCAGGATCCAACGCGCCAGCGGCCAGGGCACAGCTCCCGGTTGCAGGGCCGGCGACCCTCCGGCCGCGCATCGTTGCAGTGTTTGCTGTGCACGGAGCGCGTGATGTTATTCTGCAGCGGCTGCACACAGCGCACTGAGCGCGCCTGCGTGCCCGTCCGCCCGCAGCTCTGACTGCACGGCTCCCACTCGCCCGTCACCCACCTGCGGGGCAGAACAGCACGAACTGAGTTCCCCGCCACCCTGCCCAGGCCAGCCTCCCTCGCTCCCGTGGGTGAAGCCTAGCACAACGACAGGAGGTGCTGCCTTTCGCTGGACACACCGACTGAACTGAACAGCTCCCGGGCAGGATCCTCCTGCCCACTTCCCAACCGTCCAGCCCTGCTGCCGAGAGTGGCTTGGGGAACCTCGGAATTGGAAGAAACCCTACACCCTCTGAGCCTCGGTCCCCCCATCTGAGCATTGCTCGCTTGGTTTTATTTCAGGGAGGAAGGGTTTCGGACCACACCTGGAGTGCCCAGGGATGATTCCTGGCTCTGTGCTCAGGGAGGGGCTTGGGGGACCCTAGGCAGTGCCAGAACCTAACCAGAGTCAACCATGTGCAAGGCACGTGCCTTCACCCCAACGCTATCTTGCCAGCCCTGTGGGTTTCTGTCTTGGTTTTTGTGTCACACCCAGTATATTCTGGAATGCTCCTTGCCATTTCCAAACACCCAAAGGCATTTTCGTGTTGTTTTTTGGTTTGGGGGCCACACCAACCTGTGCTCAGGACTTACTCCTGGCTTTGTACTCAGAGGTCACTCCTGATGGGCCTCAGGGACATATGAAATGCTGGGGATTGAACCCAGCCTGGGCACATGCAAGGCAAGTGCCTTATCCTCTCTCTGGCCCTCAAAGGTCATTATTATTATTATTTTTACAGGGAATTGAATTCAGAGGCCAACATATGCAAGACCCGTGTCTCACTGCTGAACCACTGTGCTGACCCATCTTTAATTTTACTAGGGTCCCCCTTGGCAGTGTTGGGCCGGCAGTGTGAGCCAGTGGGGCTGGATGCTTTTAGGTAATGACTGGGCTGGGTGGTACTTGGTGGCCCACCCAGAGCTGGGGGTCGAACTTAAGAGTCTTATATATACCAGGTCACATGTTCCACCCTCTCTGAGGCTTATTTCTGTCCCACAACTTTAAAAAAATACAATTTAATTATATATTTAAAAATATATATATTGGTGGGTGGTAATTTAGGGCTACACCTAGCGATGTTTGACGATCCATCCAAGACTCACACATGCAAATTAGGAACACAAGCTTTGGGAGCACCATGTCTTATTATGTCTCATTATCACTCAGGAGGGATGGGGCGCTCCGCTGGGGATTCTTAGGGAACCGGGCCAGAAGGTCAATACCAGGACTTGAGGATATATTGCTTCGCAGACCCTGCAATGCCCCAAACCTCTGGACCATTCTGGCAGTGCTGGGGGCCTCCAAGGCTCACTCAGCAGTGCTCAGATGACCATGGGTGTACTGAAAATCAAACTCAGGTCAGATTCATACCATAACCACTGTACTACCTTTCAGCTCCTTCCTGCCCCATCTGCTCACTACTGTTATTTTTAAGATGTCCTACAGTGAGACTCGAGCAGGCCTGCGCAGTGGCCCATTGGCATCAGAGACCCCATGGAAGGCGGTGAGGAAGAACTCTGCGTTGTGTCTGGGAGGTGGCGGCCCCATTCACCTCCCTCCCGAGAGCCCCTCCTACAGGAGCACTCACACAGGCTGGGAGCACTCTTGCGGGTTGCAAGCACGGCGGATGGCCTTGGGCTTAGCCACAGCATCACAGAAGCCCCGTTGCACCATCTTGTGGTCCAGCCTCCGGCGGCAGCCATACTTGGTGAACTGAGACCCTGCAGATGGATGAGACCGTGTGTGTGTGTGTGTGTGTGTGTGTGTGTGTGTGTGTATGAATAGGGCATCTGGACCGGGTGGAACCTGAGTCTGGTGGTGGGTGGGGCCGCAGCCCTATGATGGACAGGGGCCTGAGTTCACAGATGGGTGGGAAGGGTGGGAAGGGGTGGAGCCCGAGCCATCCAGTGGATCGGAACTGAATCCTCCAATGAGCAGGGAGGACCAGGGCCTGGGTCCTCTGATGGCATGACAGGGGCAGGGCCTTGGGCCTCTGATGGACAAGGTGTGAGTCCTCTGGAGGACTGGGAGCAGCATGAGCTTGGGGGGGGTCTGAGCCCTCGAATGGACAGGTGGGGTGTGACCTGAACCCAGGAGCACGGCTGATCAGTTTGGAGACCATCAGGCACCCTCGGGATGCGTGGGGGTGGGAGGGGGTAAGTGGGATCCCTGGCCCCTGGCTGGCACCCTGGGTATGACAGGAAGCTTCTGTGTCCCCTCCAATCTAAGTCCCTCCCCGCATCACAGTCAGCCAGCACAGAGGCTGGAGGCTCCCTCCACTCTCCCCGTGGGCCTCACCTCCCCCGCAGGGCCGGGAGCAAGGTGACCACTTCTTCAGCGCCCACTCGAAGCCCGTGGAGCCATCCTCCAGCACGTTGTTGCCGTCCACGTTGAGCGCGTCCTCGTGGATCATGTACTTGTAGGTGAGCGCGATGCGGGCATCACCCTGTGGGACCACCTGGACCCCCAGCGCCATGAGCGAGGCTGCTCCCGTCCCCAGCAAAGTGCCCCCACGCCCCTTGGGAACTGGCATTCTTGGAACTCAGGGTCACTGAGCTCCGAAACGCTGAATTCCCCCTTCAACCAGGGTGACTGCAGGGGTACTTAGGGAGCCCGAGGATCAGGTACTTCAGGAGCTGTGGGTAGCCAACCCCCGGGGTTTGGAGCCGCCTGAATGGGAACGGAGGTGTCAATCACTCCAGCCTCCCAGTGCCCTGACTCAGGCCTGCAGGCTGGCCTCAGGGGGTGCTCAGCAGCCCCCCGATTTTTCACCGAGACCTATGTGGCTGCCAGTGAGCCAAAACTTTAACATTAAACTTGGAGATGATGGATGCTGAGGTTGGTCCAGCCCCTGGAGACCTCCGTCCGCAGGCCCCCTGGTGAGTCTGGGGGGTAGCTTGCACCTAACCACAAAGCCAGACTGAAGGGACCTGGACTTGGTCTGAGGTTTTAAATTATGATATTTTGGGTTTTAAGGTCACACCTGGGGCTTCCCTGTCATGCTTTTTCTTTGGGGAGGGCACACCCAGCTGTGTTCGGGGGGTTACTCCTGGCTCTGTGCTCAGGAATCATTCCTGGTGATGCTCAGATGACCATATAGGGTGCTGAGGATTGAACCTGGGCTGCTGCATGCAAGTCAAATGCCCTCCCTGCTGTCCATGGCTCAGGTCCTCCAGCCAGGCTTTCTGTGGAAGGGGGAGTAGATGGCTCAACCTGGAGCTCAGGGGACCATACCGTACTGGGGCCTGGACACAGGAACCCTACGTGTAAAGTCTGTGCTCCAGCCCGGCTAGGAAAGCTTTGGATGTCCCTTGAGCAAATAAAATATGTTCCTTATGCAATAGAAACAAATTGGGGAGGGGCTTATAAATTGTGTTCAGGAAGTTCAGGGGCCCCAAGACCAACTGGGTGGGCAGTTTGGTGCCAGGGTCCAAGGATGTGGCGCTGCTTCCTGTCTCAGGTGGTAAAGAACACTGGGGGATCCAGAACACCTCAGCAGTGCTCAGGTCCCCAGAGCTGCTCCTCACAGTGCTCAAGAGTCCCGTGGTGCTGGGACTTGAACCCAGGATGGGTACATGTCAGCCAATGGTTCCCGACTGCTGTGCTTTCTCTTAGGCAAGAGTAACTGGAAACACCAGGCTCTTTTCTCCTGTCACCAAGGACAGCCTGAACTTGGAGACTAAGAGACCCCAGGGGGTAACAGGATGGTCCTCCCTGGCACTCACCGTCCCCCCTTACCAGCACAGTGATGGCGCCGTGCAGCGGGCCCATGGTCTGCAGTGTCTCACGGCCATCCTCAGCACGCAGCTCCCACTCCACGCCCATGGCGATGAAGGCCCTGGACGCAGGTGGCCTGTCCCTCTCGTCATTGAGGATGAACTTGCCCGTCTCCAAGTTCTTGACAGCTAGAAGAGCAGAAGGGGGGGGGGTCTGTGGGGATCCCCATCCTTGCAGAGTATGTTGGGGCACAGAGCTCCTGAGGAACCAGCTGTCCTCTGCCAGAGGTTCATCCTTGTCTGCTGACATGCCAAGTCCCTTTTGGGAACCAGCAGGAACCCCCACCCAGAGGTAGACGATGCCTAGCCCAGGAGGTGTGTGCCCTTCCCCCAGGAAGCAGATCCCCTCGCTGGCAGTGGATGCCTCCCCTTAAGGAGTAAAATGCCTGTCTTAGAAGGGCACAGTCTGTCAGGCAGTGGTGGGAGTGGATAGGATAGTTTGGGAGCCCCAAATCAGGGAAGCTCCCAGGAACCTCCCAAGTGACCCAGTATCACTTCAGCATTTGGGGACCCACAATTCCCCAGAGAGGGTTGCCCAACTTCTTGGAGAGCAGGTGCAGGCAGTTGAAGCCTCTGCCCCTGAAGTGGCCCCCAGGCTGGGGAATTTGCTGAAGAACTGCAACACACCTGCATTTCAAGAGACACCCCACATGTCAAGAGCCTGACCCATAACTTGAGACAATGTGCAGATGGGTCAGGTGATTGGGTGGGTGGGTGGGGCCCAGGGTATAGGGTCCCCAGGAGCATTCTAGAGGTTGGCAGAGAGACTCACCAAGACGATGGCCAGTGCTATCCGTCTCCTGGATGAGTAGGTGTCTGGCTCCTGCAGGGATCTCGAACATCTTGATGTAATCTTTGGGGGTGGGGTGCAGGTAAGGAGACTGAGTCAGCAGGAGATGGAGGTAGTTCTGGGAGCTCCGCAGTGGGGCAGCTCCCTGCTTGTACATGCAAGGCCACAGGTTTGATCCCCAACACCACCTCGCCCTGGGCACTGGCCAGATGGGACTGAGTATCACAGGGAGCCAGTCTGACCCCACCTCCACCCCAGAGCAGTGGGGGAACGCAACTACAGTCCCAGGCACCCAGACTCTCCCTATCAGCTCAGCTCCGACCCAGCAGGGATGCACTCACCCAGCTTCTTTGGGGCTCGTGAGAAAGTGCCTTTGACCACTTTGCAGTGGCTGTTGTCCCCGCCACACACACCACACTTGTCCTCCTGCTTGCTTGAGCCGATGACCCCATCACAGCCCACCTTCTGTAGGGGTGGAGAATGACAGCCACTGAAGTCCTTCTGAAACTACCCTCATCCCTCCTATACTCACTGGACTCTGGCTGGGTAACAGCTGTTCCCATCCCTATCCTGAAGGTTCAGGGAAGGGGAGATCGGCATCCCCACCCAGATGTCTTCTTAGCACAAGGATGCTTTCCTACAGGGACCCTCAAAAGGCTTTTAATAAGAAGGCTGATGGCCCCTTACCACTGAGGGCACTAACTGGTTAGAAAAGGAAGAGTGTGGAGAATTGAGACAAAGCTGTGTCCTCTCCTTCCTTCCCTTCCTCTCACCCTAACTCCCATCACTGTTTTTCGGCCACTTCCAGTCATTGTCAGGGCTCCCCCACCCAATCTGTGTGCAGCTTTGTCTCCTATGATTAGGTCCTTCCATCCTATGCAGGGCCACGGACAGAACCCAGAGCAACTCCATGCAAGCCCGGTGCTCCCGAGTGTCCTAATGCTCTGGCCTCAGAGTCTATATTTTATCAAAATGGCAATGCTTGGAGAACGCCCCTGTGGGCCCCATTTTATTCCTGATTTTGTAGGCATGTGTACCCTTTTCAATTCTGCAACTTTGGTGGTGGCTGTCACTTCCTAAACTCACCCTGCGACCGGCCTTTAGCCCGAAGCTCCACCCTTAGACTGTAAGTAAGCCTACCTCCTGCAGCCAGCGGTCTCTGCAGTCCCTGCCCACTGAAGACCACCCTCCTTGCTGCAGGCATTCATTCTGCATCCCCGCCCATGCAGTCCCCTGTAGCACCCTACAATCCGGGCCCACAGCAGCCTAGCCTTCCACTGACACACCGCCCCTCCTAAAGCCGTGCCCTCCATGAGACCCACCCCACCGGAAGCTGCAGGGACCCTATCTCCTGCCTTCCCAGGGAGCCCTCCTGTCGCTGAAGCCCGGCACTTGGGCAGCCAACAATCACCCTGTGACCCCTGCATGACCCGCCCTCCGCCGAAGCCCCGCCCTATGGCAAGATACCCAATCAGCCTTGCCCCCTAAGCTCCGCCCAGAAGCCCCATCCCGCAGAGCCCCACCCCCATCGCAAGGCACCCAATCATTCTTGTCCCTTAAGCTCCGCCCCCGCGGAGCCCTGCCCTCCCTGCGGCCAACCTCCCTCCTCACCTTGCAGTCTCCACGCACGCACAGGCTGAAGGCGTCCTTGTAGGAGCAGCGAGTGCCGTCGTGCACCATGCGCTTCATGGACACGACTTCCCCGGTCTCACGGGACTCGCAGTGCAGGTGGCACCTTTCCTTGGCTGTGAGAGAAGCAGCAGAGTAGTGCGAGTGGCAAATGCCCAGCGCCAGGCTGAGTCCATTAGAGAACAACTCTGCCGGGGCTCCCAGCTCCCCTGCCGGGGCAGAGGAAACACGCCCTTTCCAACCTGTCTTGGCCCATCGAAGCGGGCAATCGGCGGTGCAGTCTCTGATCTCTCAAGACATGCCCGAGCACCCCAACCTTGGGGTGGCTCTGCCTGAGGACACTTCTGGGTCTGCTCAGACTCCAGAACAAACCATATCTTCAGGGCGGTCCCTGCTGCCCTCCTGTCCTGGACCAATGACATGGGGTCAGACTCTGCTTAACTTCCGGCCACAGGGCAGACCCTCAAACTAGAAGGGGCTTCTCTCTCTCTCTCCCTCTCTCTCTCCCTCCCCCCTCTCCCTGTACTTCACCCCTAGTCCATGGTGATTCATGGTCAGCTCCCTCTCACTTGCCTGAGCCCTGCAGATACGGGCTGGGGTCGGTTCATAGCTTTTTTGCTTTATTGAGAGTTTTGAGGCACCTGATGCTGCTCCAGCTGTGCTTGGGGGTCACTCCCTGGGGTGCTTGGGAAACCCTGTGTGGTGCTGGGAATTGAACCAAGCTCTGCCATGTAAGACCAATGCCTCAGTCCCTTCTCTGCCTCTCCAACCCGGTGGTTCAGAGTTACTGGGGATCACTGGGATGGGGCTCAGGTAAATAGAGACACAGGGGCTGTGGGGCGCTGGGTTCCAAGCCCTCCACTGCCATCGATCAATCAACATAAATACCACACCTCACCACAGAACCTCACCATATTCTTATGCATTCTAATGTTGCACCATAGATATGTAACTCACTGTCACTGTCCTCCCGTTGTTCATCGATTTGCTCAAGCGGAGCCAGCAACGTCTCCATTTTGAGACTTGTTACTGTGTTTGGCATATCGAATATGTCACAGGTAGCTTGCCAGGCTTTGCCGTGCGGGCGAGATACTCTCGGTAGCTTGCCGGGCTATTTAAGTAATACACACACAATTTTTTTGTCTGTCTAAAAAGCTTCACAGAGTGGTCACACATCATGTTTTTATAAAATCAAGGAAGAAAAGAGGAATAATAGGGGCAAAAAAAAGGAACAGGAAAATATGGCATAAAGGATCAGAATAAAAGTACAGTGGGTAAAGCACTTGCTGGCCTGGGTTTGACACTTAGCACCTGTATGGTCTTCTGAGCCTGGCCAGGAGTGAGCCCTGAACACAGCGTCAGGAGTCAGTCCTGAGCACTGTAGGGTGTGATCCATCAAACAAAACCAAAAAGTGTGCAGTGATTATGTGGTGAAATATAGGATTATAGTAAAATTCATTAGAAATGGGGAGTTACCCAAATGTAACAATATATTCTGAAGCCCAAGATGAAGCCAGGTCCCAATACTGAGTTCTTGGCCTCGTCCCTGCATCCTGGGCCATGCCTGGCCCCTCCCCTCTGTCATAGGCCACACCCCCAAGCTATCAGTCCCACCTCATTACCCTAGGCCACGCCCCCGAGTCCTAGACACCACCCGGGTCCACCAGGCTCACCGTCGCGGTGCTCATGAGGCAGCCAGTGGTGCTGGCCATCCCCGTGCTCGAAGTACAGGTCCCACTGGCGGCACTGCTCTTCGCGGAAGTCAGCCAGGGGGTCTGGGCAGCCCTGTGGGCTGCAGAGCTGGAAATCGTAGCCCAAGCCGGAGCAGGTGCGGCCCCCGTTGGCCGGGCTGAGGAAAAAGCAAAGTTCTTTCAGCCTGTGCCGGGGCAACCCCAAGATGACTCTGCTGAGGGTAGGGAGCGAGTAGAACCCTTGCCTCCCAGATCTTAGATTATGGTGTAGAGAAGGGCCTGGAAATGTGGCACAGTAGTAAGCAATGCCTGGCACGCATGAGGCCCTATGTATGAGGTTTTATCCTCAGTCAAAATAAAACATTGTTTAAAAGTTCCAGAGAGTTAGGATAAGAGGTAATCACTTGTATGCAGCCTATCTCTTACATCATGAAGCGTCTCCTGAACACCAGCCACTAGCAAACCCTGAATACCACCATATGTCACAGTCAGGAATAGTCCTCAAGCACCACCAGGGGGCGCATCTGAGTACAGACCCAGGAATTGCACTCAAGCACCACCAGGGGGCACTCTCGAGCACAGAGACAGGGCACTGCCAGGTGTGCCCTCCTGGCTCTATTAAGAGTCTGGAGAGATGATTTACTGGAGTGAGCACAGGCTTCGCATAGGGGGCCCCAGGTTTAAAGCCTGGCACCGCACAGTCCCCTGAATATTCCTAGGAGCTGCCTTTGACTACTACTGACTGTGGCCTTCCCCTGAAAATAAAACAAACAGATAAATCAGGAGAAGGGGTTAGTGGTTTCCCTTTGGGAATCCTCCTTCGGTTCTCATCACTGTTATCAGGAACCCACAGTGACGTGACAAGCCATCAGGTTCTGCTTGCTTCTCGTGGATCCCCACGCATACCCCCCAAGGACCATAAACCCTGGGACCCAGAGCAAGTGCCTAAAAAACAACTCCAAGATTAGGGAGCCCAAATACAGAGTTTTTATAGTGTCAGCACAGGGGAACACTCCCGACCTTGGCCGCTTTCCTGCAAACCCTTTATTTCACTGGGAGTGATTCTCTCCACCAAACCCCAACAGCCTGTAGGGAAGGGTCTTCCGGAGGTGGGGACAGAGGGAGTGCAGTTCGAGCCTGTGGAGGGAAATAGGACCAGGGACCTGTGCTGGCAGTAACTGAGGTGACCAGCAGAGGGCATAGTTCTGGGGACCTCAGAGTGGGGTGAGGGCTCGTGGAGCTCAGGGAAGCAACCTTCATAGAAGTAGGGGGTGGAGGAGACTGGTGGTCACTGTCCCCATTGGAGAGGGAACACCTCTGAGCTCATGGACAGTTCTGGTAGCTATATACTGGCTGCAAAAGGAGGCCCCTAAGGGTCCTTGCCCCACGGTGGGCGATACCTCATCTGACTTCCGGTCTTAATCAGTTTCATCCAGCCTTGTCAGTTTCATCATAGCACTTGGTGCTGTAGAGACCAGCAGCAAGGGAGGTAAGAAGGGATGAGTGTTGGGGCTGGAGCAATAGTACACTGAGTAGGATGCTTGCCTTGCATCCAGTCGACTCAGGTTCGATTTCCAGGATCCCATATGGTCCCCCAAGCACTGCCAGGAGTAATTCCTGAGCACAGAGCAAGGAGTAACTTCTGAGTATCACTGGGTGTAAACCAAAACCAAACAACAAAAGAAGTGGTGATGTTGGTGAGTGTGTGGGTTAGACTGACAAGCTAAGGGTGGCCTCTGTCTCTTACAGGCACTAGGGACTGGGGTTGGGGTACGGAGATGGTTCTGGTTTCTGACCCTGCCTCTTGCCTGCTTTGCAAACAGCAGTTCCCCACTGTAGGCTCTGGACACCCCAGCCTATCTCACCTCTCACTTTCTGTCTTCCGTACCCTGAGCCAAAAGTTCCCCAATTGACCAGATCTACCACCCGATGGCCCCCTGCCGCCCCCCACCTTTTTCAGAAAAATAAAATCACTCAGTACCCGCTAGAAATCAGCTTTCTTTAGGGAAATGAGCAGGCAGCGCCCCCTAGTGGCATTTGGTGGTACTACCGGCACATAATGAACCAGTTCAGTGGCCCCAAGTGGGTGGGATTGGGAAAAGCCCATTTCTTCCTGGCGAGACAGTGAAGGACTGGCTGCGCGCTGGGTGGAGCGTCCCTGATTGTGGAGAACACCCCTCTGTTACAGGCCGTAGGGCTGGGGCAGGAGCCCTCCCTTTGCTGAGTCTCGGCTGGCAAAGAGAGGATGGGCGGAGGCTGGGGGACCCCCCGCCCCGGGGGCCAGGTCCCACTCACTGTGGGTTGTCACACTGGCGGGTGCGGAACTTCACGCCGGTGCCGCAGGTGCGGGAGCATGAGCCGAAGGGGCTCCAGGCGCCCCAGTTGCCGTCACGTTTGAGGATATCGGGGGTCAGCCACACACAGTGCCCCTTGAAACAGTGCTGGAAGACACAGGGCTGGCCTCAGTCCCTGACGACCCCTTACACCCCCTTCCTGATGTTCCCAGTAGCAACCTGGCTGACCCCCCCACTGCGGCCCGGACCCTCAACCAGCCAGCAATGAGCACCCCAGTTTGACTTTCCCCAGAGAAGGACCCAGGGTATGTCCGTTCCCATTAAGGGCTACCCAGGGGGCTGGAGATATAGTCCAGCATATCGGGCACTTGCCTGGCATGTGACCAACTCAGGTTCAATCCCCAAGCATCCCATATGGTCCCCCAAGCCTACCAGGACTGATTCTTGTGCACAGAACCAGGAGAGCACAGAGCAGAGAGCACAGAACATAGAGCCCTGAAAACCGCTGGGTGTGACAAAAAAAAAAACAACGGAGGCTGCCAGACATCATGCTGACACTAGGGGACAGTTAGAGGGAAAGGGAGAGAGTGCAGGTGCCAGGGGCCACTCGGGTCTCAGCTCAACAATGCTCCTGAGCACTGCCAGCGATGCTAGGATAGAATCGAAGTCCAGTGCCTTCCTGTGTGCCTGGAAACTCTGGCACTTCTTGTTAATTAAGAAATATCTGTGTGGGCTGGAACCATAATACTGAAGTAGGGCACTTGGCTTGCACACAGCTAACCTGGGTTTGATTCCTGGTTTCCCATGTGGTCCTCTGAGCCCACCAGGAGTGATCTCTGAGTGCAGAGTCAGGAGTAAACTCTAAGCACTGCCAAGTGTGGCCCAAAAAGGAGAAAGAAAGAATGAAAGAAAGAAAGGAGGAGAGAGAGAGGAAGGAAGGAAGGGAGGGAGGGAGGGAGGAAGGAAGGAAGGGAGGGAGGGAGGGAGGGAGGGAGGGAAAACGGTTGAAGGAAGGTAGGAAAGAAGATCTGTGTACTCAGGACCTGGGATATCCAATAGTTGTTAGGGGCCCCCAGGGCCCATTTCATACATTCTTGGCCAAGCAGTCCTGAAGGTTTAAATGCTTCAGCTCAGAGACATGGTGTGGCTTAGTCCCAGGAGTTTTGGAGGTAACCAGAGCCTCTTCAACAAACAGAGCTGGTGGGGTGTGTGGGAACAGGCATGAAACTCAAGTCTGTAAGTGCACACCCTCCTGCAAATTAAAATAAATGTGGGCTGGGCATGTAGCTAAGGGGTGGAGGTGAGGACCCCTGCAGGTGTGAGGCCCTGGTTTGCTAGCATTACAAAAGGGGAGTTTAGTTTATAGTTTGCTGCAGGTTGACTTTAGGTTGACCTTGCAACAGCGGTAGGGCATTTGCCTTTCACGCAGCCAACATGGCCGACCTGAGTTCGATTCCTCCGCCCCTCTCACCCCTCTCGCCCCTCTCGGAGAGCCCGGCAAGCTACCGAGAGTATCTCGCCCGCACGGCAGAGCCTGGCAAGCTCCCCGTGACATGTTCAATATGTCAAACACAGTAACAACTAGTCTCACGATGGAGACGTTACTGGGCCCGCTCGAGCAAATCGATGAACAACGGGAGGACCGTGACCGTGACAAAAGGGGAGAGGAGGGAGGGGATGGAGAGAGGAGGGGAGGGGGATGGAGGGAAAGAGGTGGGGAGAGGGAAGGGAATGGGAGAGGAAGAGGGGAAAAAGAAGAGGAAGAGGAAGTGCATCTAATATCATAAGTGAACATCCCAGCTGAGCCCGACCTGTCTGCATCATGCTCAGAACACAAGGAGAACAAGTATTGGGCCCACCTAAAACCAAGGAGCTGGAGAGCACAGGCAAAGGCAAAGATAGGCCTTTGGTAGCTGGTGGGGGTGTGAAGGGCCAGAAGCCCCCCGGCCCTTCCCGAGTTAGTGCTGAATACCTATGGGGTCCACCCTTCCTCCACTTTCAAGTCCTTACAATTACAGAGCTGGGCAGGAGAGAGAGGACAGGGATAAGGACAGCTCCTGTTCTCTTCCGAGCAGTGCATGTTCCCTCAAGCACTGCCAGGGGGCGCTCCTGAGCACAGAGTGGGGAACAATCCCTCTGTACCACCAGGGGGTGCTCCCGAGCATGGCCTAGGAACAGCCCGGAGCACTGCTCAAAGACTCCCGGACACACACACCACATGACTCGTCTTTCCGTGGAGCTGACCAAGGAGATGTGGAGATCTCGAGGTGCCAGGACCACTCAGCCCACAGGTCCCGACTGTCTCTGGATGGAGGGCCAGGCTGGACCCTGTGGCCACAGGCCCCTGCGGAGGAGTCCCAACCCCTCACTCCTGGGAACAAAGCCGACGGCACCCTGACACGACTCCTCAGCGCGGGACCTCGGGAGAGGAGCCCTGGATGGGGGACTGGCCTCATGCGATAGCTGCTGGAGTGCTCCGGGAGAGAGGCAGTGGGGTGGGGGGCCCAGGCCAGCCCCCACGCCCCCGCTCACCTTGCCGTGCGCACACATGGTGCCGTCCAGTGGGGGCCCCTTCTTGGTCTTGCAGAAGTAGGGGTTGTCCGGGTGGCTGCACCACAGCTGCTTGCAGGGGTCGAACGTCCGGAACTGGAGAGAGCAGCCGGGGTTGCTGCCGGCCCCGTCCGGGCACCTCATTGCCCCCCCGCCAGGCTGGGGTCGGACTGAGTCCCCATCCCCCACGGGGCGCCCCACCAGCTAGGTACGTCTCCCAGGTGGGACTGAGGCAGGGGAGGCCTCTCCGACCGCGGGTCCCCTCAGTGGTAGGACGAGGAAACTCCTGCTTCCTCCCCTCAAGCCCCGGGGAGAGCGCCAAGACTGCTGCCAGCACTGAGCCCTGTCTTTTGCCCCGCGTGCGCCCGAGCCGCCTCCTCCTCCTCCGGGGGGCTCTTCGGGATGCTGGCCCTGGAGACACGTGGCCCGACGCCCCCACTCACCGCAGTGCACATCATGTAGCCCAGGCCGAAGTCGAAGCGGCACTGCTCGTTCATGGAATAGTGGAGCCCGGGCAGCTGCGGCAGCGCCGGCCAGTCGTGCGCGAAGGGGTCGTCCCTCAGACAGTCGTAGGAGCTGCAGGGACACGGGCACCGTTTCCTCCGGGGACCACCGGGGCCGCCCCGGGGCCACGACGGGTGTGGGGGCTTAGACTCTAAGGAGACTCTATATCTGGGAGCCTGTCAGCCCCTTGCAGGGAGGGCCGGGTGCCCTACAGGCCAGCCTTGAGGAGGGGACGTCTCCTGGCCCTGAAACTCGGGGGGGGGGGGGGGCGCTGAGGGCCCTGTAGCTGTGAGGGCCTGGGCGGGGCTGGGTGGGAGGAGTAGGTGGGGCTGAGGCGAGGCCGGGCAGCCTTCTTGGCTCTGGGCTCCTGGGCAGCGCTGGGGATGGGCAGGACCAGGTGGGTTGGGGCGGGGCCCGGGATCTTCCTTGCACAGGGCGTGGGGCGGGGCAGGGCCCTCCTGGGCTCTGGGGACGGGGTTAGAGGGGCGGGGCGGGGTCCTCCTGGGCCTTGGGTGCAGGGGCGGGGCTGGAGGGGCAGGGCGGGGCCCTCCTGGGACCTGGGAGTGGGGTTAGAGGGGCGGAGCGGGGCCCTCCTGGGCCTTGGGTGCAGGGATGGGCTGGAGGAACAGGGCGGGGCCTTCCTGGGCTCTGGGGGCGGGGTTAGAGGGGCGGGGCAGAGCCCTCCTGGGCTCTGGGGGCGGGGCTGGAGGGGCGGAGCGGGGCCCTTCTGGGCTCTGGGGGTGGGGTTAGAGGGGCGGGGTGGGGCCCTCCTGGGCTCTGGGGGCGGGGTTAGAGGGCCCCGGCGGGGCCCTCCTGGGCCTTCCTTGGGTGCAGGGGCGGGGCTGGAGGAACAGGGCGGGGCCTTCCTGGGCTCTGGGGGCGGGGTTAGAGGGGCGGGGCAGAGCCCTCCTGGGCTCTGGGGGCGGGGTTAGAGGGGCGGGGCAGAGCCCTCCTGGGCTCTAGGGGCGGGGTTAGAGGGGCGGGGCAGAGCCCTCCTGGGCTCTGGGGGCGGGGCCCTCCTGGGCTCTGGGTGTGGGGTTAGAGGGCCCCAGCGGGGCCCTCCTGGGCCTTGGGTGCAGGGGCGGGGCTGGAGGAACAGGGCGGGGCCTTCCTGGGCTCTGGGGGCGGGGTTAGAGGGGCGGGGCAGAGCCCTCCTGGGCTCTGGGGGCGGGGTTAGAGGGGCGGGGCGGGGCCCTCCTGGGCTCTGAGGACGGGGTTAGAGGGGTGGGGCGGGGCTCTCCTGGGTTCTGGGTGGGGTTAGAGGGGAGGGTTAGAGGGGCGTGGTGGGCCCTCCTGGGCTCAGGGGCGGGGCTGGAGGGGGGGCAGGGCCCTCCTGAGCCCTGGGCGCTGGGGCGGGGTTAAGGGACGGGGCGGGGTCTTCCTGGGCCGGGCAGGAGCGGGTCAGGGGCAACGGTGGGCACTCACTGCAAGTAGCGGCCCAGCTCCTGCTGGCTGCAGCGCGACCAGTGGAAGCGGTGGAAGGCGGCCTGCACCAGGGGGGCCATGATGCTCCCCAGCCGCACCTCGTCGCCGCAGCGGTTGCCTTGGCCGTCATGCTCCATGCCCAGTCTGCGAGGAGACTGGACCGCTGATTGCGCCTCCCCAGGACCCCCGGCCCTCCCGCGCGGTGGTTACCCCAGCTGCCCCGCCCTGGCCACGTCAAGTCGCACTGACTCCGCCCGGAACATGGGTAGGACGGCTGCAGCACTCGCTCGCGCCCCCCGCCCCCCAGCTCCCGCTCTGCAGAGAGCCCAGGTCTGCTCTGGGCCCCGCAGGGCTCCCTCCCCGGTCCGTGTCAAGGTCCCTGGCTCGGGGAGACTCACACGTGGCCGGTCTCGTGCGCCACCACAAAGGCAGAGGAGAAGCCGTCCTCGTGGTTCAGAGTGCAGCTGCGCACGGGGTGGCACATGCCGGTGACCGGGGCATAGCCTGTGGGGCAGATGGGGCCAGCTGTGCAGGGAGGTCCGACTGCGCAGACCCCGCAGACCCCCGCCCTACCTAGTTCTGGAGACACTGCAGACCCCAGAGCAGAGGGCTGGTGAGGAAGCCCTGCCACCCCTGAGGGCATGGGCAATGCTCCCACAAAACGGTCCCCCACCGCCCTTGGCATGACTGGGAGTCACCCACTCCCCACCCCTCACCCACCACTGCCCGGTCAGGTGCCTCCCTCCTCAGACCCGCCCTCCTCCTTTCTCTTCCTTCCTCCCCCATCCCTCCTTCCTTCCCTTCCTTCCTTCCTTCCTTCCTTCCTTCCTTCCTTCCTTCCTTCCTTCCTCCCTCCCTCCCTCCCTTCCTCTCTCCCTCACTCCCTCCCCTAGGGGGTCAGTTGGAACCAGTGCGTCAGAGGCATTGGAGGAAAGGGAGCTACTGCAGGGCAGGCACCAGACCCCTTGCTTGCTCTGCTTGTGTCAGGGGGCTTTAGGGGGTGCATACGTGCACATGGCTCCTCCCCAAACATTTTCTTGGGGTGAGGGTTGGGTGGAGCGTGTGTGCTCAGGTCTCAAACATGCCTCTTGCCTGCTGTGCACTTGGTAATTCTCTCTGTAATCCAGGAGACTGTGACTGACAGGATGAGGTTTGAGGAAGCAAGGGGGGGGGGGCAGGGCCCTGACAGCAAGGGCTGGGGGCAGGGAGCCCCTCCCCCCACTGAGGAGAACAGCTCAGCCTGGTCTGCTAGCAAAGAGGAGAGATGATGGAGCTTCATTCCCGTGGACCCTCTCCCCACCCCAGGACTCCCGGCTGCCCAGCCCTGCAGTCTGTCCTGGAGAAAAGTCTCAGGTGTAATGTTTGCTGGAGCCACTTAGGACAGGCTGGCTCAGTCCTTTTCAGGGACTTGGCAGGAAACTCGCTACCTTTGAGTTTCCTTTTTCCTCTGCAGAATGGGGGTGGGGTGAGTGGTTCTTGAATCTGCATCAGAGAGCACAACACACACACACACACACACACACACACACACACACACACACACACTCCCGCCCCAAACTCCCGCCCATGTCTTTGTGATTTGCATGCAAGGCTTGCCCAGAACTCAAGCCTGGGGGACGAGTTCTTAGCCACCTGCTCTGCTTCCATCCACAGCGCCCTCAGCCTTGATCCAGAGTTCTTTGCTTTTTTGCTTTTTTTCATATCCTTCCCTCGCTGGTTTCACTTTGTCACTGCTCTAGAAATCACATCAGAGAGACCTGGTGCCTCCCAGAGCTGATGGTGCCTCTGCCTCCTCCATCCTGTTTTACCTGGTGTTTTTCTATGCTTTTGCCTCATATTTATGTCCAGTAACTGTCTGTGTTTGAGAAGGAACCACTATGACAATGATAGTTGAACATGACCTTTCTGGACAAGAACTGAGTGCTGAAAGGAGATAACCTTTCAGTATCTGTATTGCAAACTATAATGCCCAAAAGAAGAGAGAGAGAGGGAGAGAGAGAGGGAGAGAGAGAGAGAGAGAGACTGTGACAGACAGAGAGAAGAAAAATGCCTGTCATAGAGGCAGGCAGGGTGTAACTGTGTATCTCACGATGATTCAAATAAAAAATAAATTAATTAATAAAAAAGAAATATCTATATTTCTTTTCCTCTTTTTTTTTTGGCGGGGGGATACCCATCTCTGTTAGGGCTGATCCTAGCTCTGTGCTCAGAGATTACTCCTGGAAGGGTTTAGGGAACCTTCTGTGTCAGCTATGTACAAAGCAAGTGCCCTACACACTGTACTATATCTCTGGCCTCCTCTTTCTAAAATATATATATATATATACATATTGCTTTTTGGGTCACACCCAGCGATGCACAGGAGTTACTCCTGGCTCTGCACTCAGGAATTACTCCTGGCGATGCTCAGGGGACCATATGGAATGCTGGAAATCGAACCCAGGTCAACCACGTGCCAAGCAAATACCCTACCCATTGTGCTATCTCTCCAGCCCCTCTAAAAATATATTTTTGAGGCCAAACTCAGCAGTTCTCAGGCCTTACTAGTCTCTCTGATCAGGAATCTCTTGGCAGTGTTCAAGGGATCAGATGGGGTGCTGGGAATTGAACCCAGGTCGGCTGTGTGTAAGAGAAACACCCTCCCCATTGTACTAACTCTCTGGCCCCATAGATAACTATGTTTCTATCCCATGCATATGTTTCTACCTCATAACTCACAGTTTCTATATCATATAGAAATCTATCTTTATCATAGATATATGTTTCTAATAGACAGATATCTCAATATATTTGGGGATCCCTCTCAACCTTTTCATTTCTTTGCTCTGCAGAATGGGATGCTGGTGGTGATTTCACGTGGGTGGCACTGGGGATCGAACTTGAAGCCTCACACTTGTTGGACAAGTACTTTTGTCACTGGGTTGTCTCACAGGATAACGCCCCCCCCCACCGGAATGCATACATCAACCCCTCCCCCAAGAAAAATAACTTTCCAAAGTGGGAAAGTCATTCCAGTGCATGGGCACTATAGAGAGAGTACTCAACAGGATGTACATGTACTCGGCAGGCAGAGGCTTTGTTTGAGCCACAGGCACTGCACGGTCCCCAGAGCACTGAGCCTTGAGTAGACCCTGAGCACCTGTGAGTGTGGGGCACAGACAAAACCTGGAGGGAACAAAAACCCCAACATTTCACGACCTGGAGATCTTTCCCTGAGAGGCCATGGGGGGAAATGACGTCAAGAGCGGTGGTTTCACAAAATGAGGGGGGTCTCCACACTCACCCCCACTGGGTCCCTCCAAGGCTCCGTTATCCACGCCGCCTCCCCCTTCCTCCCCCTCCCTCCCATGCCCCCCCCACTCACCCTGCATGCCCGAGGGCCCAAAGTCCTGCCTGGTGAGGAAGATGGCATGGTCATGGTACTCGTCATGGTCAGTGTCTGCCTTCTGCTGTAGGTAGGCCCAGCGGCACACGTTCTCCAGGCTCTGGGAGGGGTTCCCGATCTCGATGAGGCTCGTGGACTGGGGTGGCACAGAGGAGAAGGGCTGGTTTGGAGAGGCAGGTGGAGACTGGGGGCTGACCAAGCAGCAGGGTGAATGGCTTGTTTGGTTTTGTTTTTATCTCTTGGGGTCACACCCTGTGATGTTGCTCAGAAGTTATGCCTGAGTCTGCTCAGGAATTACTCCTGGCAGTACTCAGGGGACCATATGGGATGCTGGGGATCAAACCCGGGTCAGTCGTGTGCAGGGCAAACCCCCTATGCACTATGCTATCGCTCCAGCCCCCACAGCAGGGTCAATGGACTCCCGATGTCGGAACTGCCCAGAGGCTCAGGGCCCCGCCTCCCAATTTGGGTCTAGGTTTCTGAAGGGCAGGCGAGTCCTTGGGGACAGCTGGGAGCTGCTGACATCAGCATGTAAGGAGGATCGCTGAGGCAAGGGAGCATGGCGGGAGCATGACCGATGGCTGTGGGCATGGCCAAGGTGTCGCTTGGTGACTGGGCCATGGCCAAGGGTGGCCCAATGACTGAAACTCAGGGCCAAGATGCCTGAGGCTAGGGGTGACCAGGCTGAGACCTGGTGCCTGGGAATGGGGCTGGTCACCACAGTGGGGACTGACTCCTGCAGCCTGCCCCCGACTCTGGTCTCTTCACTCCCCAAGGCAGGAAGGGGAGCTTGGAAGCCCCCCCACACACACACGTAGCCGGCAAGCCCACATCCAAAGCTACACCCCATCACCAGATCCCAGAACACTTCCTAAAAGACTATAATCTCTGGGTCATTCAGGGAACCAAATCGTCTTTCCTAAATATGGATATTTGAGGGGGTTGGGTCACACCCCAACTGATGTGGCTCCAGCCCTGACCACATCAAGTGTGTCCCCCAGATGCTCAGAGCCAGTGTGAGCCGGGTGCCACATGCCCTCCACCCTCCCAGGCCCGCCTAGGGCACCGTTTTGAAAACCCTGGGGTGAAGGTCCACATGTGTGTACAGGACCTTGTTCCCACCTTCCAGGCTCACCCCCTCCCTGCTGAGGTCCCTTCCCACACACCCGCATACGGGGCTGCCCTCCCGGCCCCTGGCATCCCCTGGCAGTTGAAGGGATTTTGCCACTGTGGAGGCTGATTGATTCGACTCTTTGTATTGATCTGCGTCTGGTCTCTGCCCTTTGCAGGGAACAAGCCGCATGGGAGTGGGGAGAGTGTGTGTGTGGTGAGGAGGTCCGGGGCACACGTGTTTCGGGACCTCACTCCAGGTTTGGGGATTCTAAGAAAACTTACCCTCCCCCAGACAAGAGTCGAAAGGTGCTGCACAGAGCTGGAGTGTTCTGGGAAAACAAGTTCTAACAAAAAATGAAGATGTGGGTTCACTCCTTCCTGTTTCTCTGCTGTCGAATTTTCTCAAGACTTCCGACTACCCAAGGTGGGCATTAAGGAATCAAAGGGGTGCAAGTGGGGGCCAGGGATGAAGAGCAGAGCTCTGGGATGGCCCCCAGGGTGCCCAGCACCCAGACAGTGCCCTCAAACAGCCTGTGTTCAGATGCAAGCGCAGAGGAGAGCCTGGTGAATTTGGGGAAAGAGTTCCTCATGGGTAAAGAGGAGAAGAGGGCAGGAAGGGGATAGGGGGCAGGGGTGGCTTCTTCATTGTCACAGAATTGGGACAAGGAGTGGCAGATGAGCAGGAGAGGTGGGAGGGGGTAGAGTCAGGACTTGGAGAAAGCATTCCAGGTACTGTGCCAAGGGTCAGTCTGGCTTGGTGGGTGAAACAGAAATTCCTTATATTTGGAGTTTGGGTCACAGCTAGCAGTGCTCAGGGCTGACTCCTGGTTCTGCACTCAAAGTCACTCCTGGAGGGGCTTTGAGGATCCTATAAGGTGCCAGGAATATAACTCAGGTTAGCCGCATACAAAGCAGGGACAGTACCTGCTGTATGATCTCGCTTTGGTCCTGAAATTCCAAAATATTGATAAGGGGACCCAGCGCAGCCACCCATGGGTGTCAGCCTCCTAGACTCCAGGCACATGCTGTTCTTGAATGATGGCACCCACTCTATGATAGCTTCCAGCAGCACAGAGGCCAGTGAGGGGGCAAGGCTGGGCTCCAGGACACCCTCACGGACAGAACCATCCACCAAGACTCAATCTTTTCTACCTCTGTGCCACCACCAGCCACAAGCACAGTGCCACAGACACTGCCAACCTGGCTGTGCTTCCACATGATGAGACTGGAGGTACGAGGAGCATCATCCCCATGAGCACAAAAGATGCACCAATTACTAGCCCCTTCCCTGCCACTAAGAAGCATATTGAAGGCTGGAGAGCTAGCACAAGGGCTAAAGCACTGGCCTCATATGCAGTCGCCCCTGGTTTGATCCCTGGCACCACACTGAATTACTGGAAACCCACCAGGAATGATCCCTGAGCACAGTGCCAGGGGTTCAAATCTAAATCATAAACAAACAAACAAAAAATGCACATTGAGAGTGACAAATGGCCTACAAAGTAAGAAGGTAGGCTAAGGGGAGTTCTGAGTTTGATCCCAGTACAGCATAGAGGGCATCCGCTCCCTGCTCCATCCCCTGCTGGAGTTGTCCTCGATGACCCAAATCACTCCCCCCACTTCTCTCAAGATGAGTGTCCTGATTGCCTGCTGAAAAGCATGGCACTTGCTCCCCTCCCTGGGTGGGGTGTAGACTCTTGGGGTAGGGGGTTCTGGCACTGCAGGGAGCAGTACCCCAGACAGCAATGTTGGTGGTGCCACCTGATGTCCTGAGTTAAATTCAGGCAAGTGAAAAGACTCACTTCAAGTTCCACCCAGAGAGAAGTAGAGGAGGGGCTGGAAGCCTGGGGGGGAGGTTTGTGCCTGCCCCTAGGAGGGACCAGTAATAGCAGTGCAGAGCCCAGAGTAGTCACCAGATGGCGCTGTCACTGCAGAGATCTGAGCTGGCCACCAGGTGGCGCTGTCGCGATAGATTTCCCCAGCTGGCCACCAGGTGGCGCTGTTTCAATAGATTCCCCAGCTGGCCACCAGGTGGCGCTGCCGCCACAACAACAGAGGCTCCAGGGCAATCTGCTCTAAAGCCAAATCCATGCAAGAAGCAGGTGGTCCACATGACTGTCTGAGTGCTGTTTCCCTGGGAGAGCTGAATTCCTTCTACAATTTCCCTCTGCAGCCCAAAACACCCACAGGGAAGGGGATCAGACCTGCAGCTGGCCGGGCACCCCTTGACCACCGTAGTCCTCCAGGGCAAACCTGGACACTACCCCCCTACACACCTCAGCCCTGTCCAGCAGAGACTCAGAGTCCTTTGACAAGTACCACCACCATGTTCTGAGGTGCCTTTGCACAATGGGAATAGGATGGAATGGGGACTGAGTCTGCCTACCAGCTGGTACCTAGACTGGCAGGAATCTTGCAGGGCTCGAGCATGCCCCAAAGCCTCTGGCTGCTGCTCACACAGAGTGGGAGTTGGGGTGCAGAACTTTCGGGGTGGGCCAGAAAGGCAATGATGGCCCCGCTCCTTTCTGTTCTGTCGTGTCTTCCTCTAAGACAGAATTTTTCTGTCCCCAAATTTTCACCTCTAAAGTGAGACTTCTGAACTAGAGAGATAGGATACAGCTTAAAGTACTTGCTTCGCACATGGCTGACCTGGATTTGATCCCTAGCACCTCATAGGATCCCCTTAATCCCACAGGGAGTGGTCTCTAATCTCAGCCAGATGTGGCCCCCAAGTCAAAATTAAATTAATTAAAAATGTGGTGCCAGAGAGATAATGCACAGGGGAAGGTGCTTTTCCCGCATGTGGCTGATCCGAGTTCAATGCCTGACACCACACAGTGTCCCCTGAGCACAGAGTCAGGAACCGACCCTGAGTATTGCCAGGTGCAGCCCAAAAACTCCAACTAAAAAACCCTTGACACTCCTCCCAACACCCACTGGCTGGTGGCCTTGGCCGCTTGCTGTCCTCGCATCTTTGTGCCCTACTGGCTTTGGTTTTCAGCCTCTGAGGGGGGAAAAATATTTTATAGAAAAAAGAAAAAAGAAAGCAAAAACAAAAATCCCAAAATGAACTTGCTCAGTGGCTTCTGGTACCTTCTCAAAAAAAAATCAATTGAAAAGCCAGTTGCTATGCAACCTACAAGTGTCGCTCCCCGACTGATGGCAGATTGCAATATTGCATCCTATAAAATAAGATCGTCTCTCTGCTTTGGCTGGGCGGGGGGGGGGGGGGCGGCAGGCATTTCAAAAATGGAGGAAAATGTTTTCAGGAAAACTTGCCCCAACGTGCGCATCTCATAAGCTGGGAGACAGACGATCTGTCACTCAGAGAAGTGACACCGAGTGGAGGAGGAGAAGCGGACGAGCAGAGGGGGGTGGGGAACTGGTCTGCTTCCACTGAGCTCTGGGCAGACTGACTGGCTGCGGACCAGGACGTCTCCTTCCTCTGCCCCTGGGTAGCCAGCTCAGAGCCCACCACCACCCCCCACCCTGTCCCTTCAGCATGCCCTGGACTGCAGCAGGGTACAGCCCTGGGCTGTCAGAAGCTCTGTCTACTGCCGCTTTGGGTTGGGTTGGGGTTGGGCTTTGAAGGTCCCTGCCTGCGAGTGACATGGGGTCTCTCCTGGCAATGCTCGGGGGAGCAAGATGCCAGGGCTGCACTCTGTGCACCTGCCCCAGGATCTATGCTCGGATTATCAAGACAGAGTCGGGGACTCTGCCTCTGTTCTTTTCCCTCCTTTCCCTCCCTCCTGTCTCTCCTCCCTTCCTCCCTCTTCTCTCCCTTCTTCCTCACTCTCTTCCTCCCTCCTCCATCCCTTCCCTCCCTCCTCCCTCCCTTCCATCCCTCCTCCCTTCCTTCTCTTTCTTCCCTTCCTCCCTCCCTTTCCCTTCCTTCCCTTCCTCCCTTCACTTTCTCCTTCTTTTCCTTCCTTCCCTCTCACCCTTTCCTGCCCTCCTTCTCTCCTTCCTCCCTCCTACCCTCCCCCACACACACACCCCTGGCTGTGCTCTGGAACTATCTCCTGCTCAGGGGCCTGTAAGTTGCTTCCCTTAGTGCTCAGCCAGTCTTGTATTTCACAGTAAACGTATCCTTCCCCTTGGGAGTAGCAGCATTTGTGTTTTGGGATTTGCCTGGTCGATTCATACGAGTTCAAAAAGATTCATAAAGAGTTCATACAAATTCTTTATAGACAAGGGCATCTGGGCCAGACTGCAAATATTTTTCTTGCTTGTTTGTAGGTTTGTATTTTGGGGAGAGGGGGCCAGTCACACCCAGCAGTGCTTGGGAGCTAGTCTTTTTTGTTTGTTGTTTTTTTGTCATACCCAGCGATGCTCAGGGTTTACTCCAGGCTTGGTGCTCAGGAATCACTCCTGGTGGTGCTAGGGGGACCATGTGGGGTGTCAGAGATTGAACCCAACATGTGCAAGGCAAACACCCTACCTGCTACACTATCGCTCTGTACTCTGGAAGCTACTCTTGGCTTGTTGATCGGGGGTCACTCCCAGTAGCACTGACGAAACCGTGTGATGCTGAGCTCGAACCCAGGGCTCCTACATGCAAAGCCTGTGCCTTTTGAATCCTCCATTGGGTGCTTTTTTTTTCTTTCTTCCCTTCCCTCTCATCACTGCAATAAATCTGTGTAATACTCACCCCACACTTGGTTGCCCAAAAGAGATCAAACACTTTTCTCGTGGGGCTGGAGAGGTAGTAAACTAGGAAGGGCACCTCTGTGCCTTGTATGTGGCTGACCCAGGTTCAATTCCTGGCATGTCATATAGTCCTCCGAGCTCTGCCAGGAGTGATCCCTGAGTACAGAACCAGGGGGAAGCACCACTGAGCACTACTGGGTGTGGACCCCAAACAAACCAACCCTTTGTTGTGCCAATGGGGAATGCTAAACCTTCGTGTCACTGTGTGGGAGCTGGGCCAGGGACCCAACTCAAAATCCACAGCCGAGAGGCTGCTGCTTCACTGCTAAGCCGCACTCCTTGCCCCATGTTTTATATTTTATTTGGGCCACACCTGGCAGTGCTCAAGGCTCACTCCTCACCCAGTGAGGCTCACGGCTTACCCAGGTTCTCCAGCATGACTCTGCTGGGCTCCAGGGACCATACGGGGTGCCGGGGATTGATCCTGGGTTGGCCGTATGCAAGGAAAATGCCCTCCCCACTATACATATCACGCCAGTTCCTCAAGGGTCACTCCTGACTGTGCTGAGTGCTAACTCCTTTCTCTGTGCTCAGGGAAGACTCCTAGCTCTGTGCTCAGATCTGACGCCTGGCTCTGTGCTTAGGGCTGGCTCTTGGCTCTGTGCTCAGGGCTGACTGCTGGCTCTGTGCTTGGTGATTGCTCCTGGCAGGGCTCAGGCGACCCTGTACAGTGTCAGGGATAGAAACTGGACCTGTCACAGGCGAGGTTAATGGTTTCCAAGCTGTCCTGCCTCTCGCGCCTCAGGGTTCTTATATTTTCAGTTTTCTAATCTTCCTGTTTACCAATCTTGTCTCTGAGATGTAAGGATAGGAAGCATGTAAAAAAAAATCACGATTTTTGTTTCCTTGACTTGTCCAGCCTCCATAGCACGTTCCCCTGGCCATATGGCACGTGGCATATTTCATTTACTACAGAGGAAATGTCCGTTTGTCACACACGATTTGCAACTGTTCGACCCTCCTTTCTGCATCTCTCCCACTTCCTCCAGCCCAGAGCCTCCTGCTTCCTTCAGCTGGTCTGTGGGTGCTTAGGCAAACACAGTCGGATTTTAATTAGTTTCGCTTCCTTTGAGGTTTGAAATCAATCCCCTTTATGATTTGCTCGCCTTGGAAGACGTTCCCAGCCCTTCTTGAGCCTAGATGATTCTAGACAAATGCTGTGATGCTTTCCTCCGATTTCTAATTATTAATCTGGGAAAACTCCCCTTCACCTCAGCATTGGCCCCCTCCCCAGGAGCAGTTTCAAGGCTCTTCATTAAATTCGCCACCGTTGGAGACTCTTATTATTTCCCGCCAGAGCTCCTACTTCTGTCTTGTTAGAGCCTTTTGCAGACGGTCATACTTTTGGCACCTCTAATAAAAGGGACTTTTCTCTCCCTCTTATCCCTTTTTCCAAAGGCATCCATGATGCTTAGATGTTGGTGTTTGCATAATTGTCCTGCCTGGCCATGCCACTGAGTCTCATGAACCCAAAGAGTTTTAGTATGAGTTCTTTTTCTAAATTGCCTTTTTTTTAAGTCTCTCTCCTCTTCATCTTCAGTAAGAATTATTTCTGCTTTTGCTCTGATACAGTTCAATGTCATACCATGTTGACTAGAGTTTTCGGAATCTGTGACAGAGTGTTGCTTTTTTTTTTTTTTTTGCTTTTGGAATGCGGGCGGGGTAGGGGGGCACACCCGGCAGTGATCAGGAGTGATTCCTGGTTCTGTGCTCATGAATGACTCTTGGCTCTGTGCTTAGGGATCACTCTTGGCTCAGTGCTCAGGGAACACTCCTGGTTCTGTGCTTGGGGGTCACTCACAGTGGGGCTTGGGAGCCCTCTACAGAGCCAGGTATAAAGCCCAGGTTGGCAGCATTCAAGGAAAACACCTTCCCTGCTGTACCTGTGGAATTTTCTTTGTTGACTTATTTGTTTGGGGGATGGGATTCATCCCTGAAGGTGCTCAGAGAATACCTCTGACCCAGGGTTCTGGGCTCTCTGCTTGTAGGACTGGGACGAAGCTTGCTGTGGTACTTTCAGATACGCGTGTTTTCTCTTTCTACCATAAAGTAAAAAGTCGGTTGTCATGTTCCCATCTGTTCCTCATTCTCCCAGATGGCTCAAACCCAGGCGCTACCTTCCCTGCCATGAGAGAGGAGATCCCATATGCCTGCAGAATCAGGGGGCCTCAAGTCTCCTGGACCTTCTCTCGGGGGGTGGCAGTCCCTCACTCATGCCTTTGCACATGACACTTATCCATTTGTACACGACACCCAGGGCTTTGCACATGACACCCATTCCTTTGCACATAACACTTATGGCTCTACACAAGACACTTGTCCCTTCCCTTGAACTCTGCCTCCCCAATAAATCCTCAGTTGAACTTTGGTCTGGGTCTCATCCCCCCACCCCAGTTTCTGGCTCCAGACCGCCCCCCACCCAAGGTTGGCACTTCTGCCCGCCCACTGCCAGCACAGAGTTCTGAGTCTCCATCTCACAGAGCCCAGGGCACCTCACCCTCCCAAGGGGCCCTCGAGGTTCTCTTCTACCCTGTTCCCACGCATGGCTGTGCCCTCTGCAGAGCTTGGGGCCACTCCCCAGACAAACACCGGATGCTCATTCCCTCAGGTCATTTCTCCCCGTGATCCAGCCCTTTATGGCGCCTCGGGGGTCCACAGCCTCAGGGAATGGGGACCAGAGCACCCGCCACCCCATCATGCAGCTTCTCAGGGACCCTCCTGCTCCTGTGACCCACCCCCCCAGGCTCTGTGGGGATCTCGCTCCCTCCCTCCCCCACCCAGCTCTCTTCTCTTTGCTCTTTCCTTCCTTCCCTCTCTTGTCTTCCCCCCCAACTATATCCCTCTTTTCTCTCCCCTCTCTTCCTCCTTCTCTGTCAACCCCTCTCTTCCATTCCTCCTCCACCCTTCTCCTTCCTCACTCTCACACTTCCCTTTTTCCGACCTTGTAACCCTCCCCCATGACCTATGAATAACGAGTGCTCCTCACCTCTCCTCCCCAACTAGTACCTGCCATGAAAATTGAGGTTCCGGGGGATTGCTCCTGAGTTCAGGGGTCCCATCTGGGGGTATCTACAGTGCTCGGTGTCAAGGAGCTGGATATGACAGGGAGCCTCTGTGCTCTGGAACTAGGCGACTCGAAGTGAAGAACGCCCCAAAGAACATCCGTGTCAGGGAGAGTCTTTGGGGTATTTGCAAATGAGACTCTACACCAATTTGGAGTCTGACAACTTTTGTGATGACACTGCTGTACCAGGGGTCCAACTTGAGGCCTCACGTGTTCAAGGCCTGTGTTCAATGACTTGAACCACTTCCCTTCCATCTTTCTTTTGGGGCATTGTAAAGTCAGTGCGTAAAGATATGGGTGGATTCTGAATATGTAGATATGTATCCTGTATTGCATTTCCTTCCTTAAGAACTCCTTGGAGGGGGTGCTGGAGCGATAGCACAGCGGGTAGGGCGTTTGCCTTGCACGCGGCTGACCTGGGTTCGATTCCCAGCATCCCATATGGTCCCCTAAGCACCACCAGGGGTAATTCCTGAGTGCAGAGCCAGAAGCAACACCTGAGCGTCGCCTGGTATGACCCAAAAAGAGAAAAAAAAAAAGAATTCCTTGGTAGTAGCAGAAGAGATAAGATAGCCAGAAAGACGAGAGCCAGGAATCAGCCTTAAGCACTGCCAGGTGAAGCCTCCAAGCCATGATAATCATAATCATCATCATAATAATTTGCCAATGAATAAAATGCACTGGGAAAAAACCCAAATCACAAACAGATGTTGACAGTTAAAGGGCAGGCCAGTGGCGCTTGAGGTGGCTGGGTGGGATGGAGAGATGGAGGGAGGGTAACAGGTGAATCCTGGGCTACCTTGTGAACCTGCAAACTTACGTGTCACGCGTGTAGTGGAGGTGAAGGGAAATACGTAATTGCGGTTGGTAACAAGGTTTTTGGCTTCAAATAGGAGGCACAGGGCAGCTGAGGGAGGATGTGGGCGACCATAAATGTTTTAGGAGGAATCCCTCTGGAAGGGTCAACCAGTCTCATAGCGGTCGGAGGTACAAATGTTTGCACAAAAGGCAGGGTGGCACCCAGAAGGTGCCAGATGGTTCTAGAATAGAACCTAAGAAAGTTCTGGAAAGTACTGGAAGGCCCTGAGAAGTTTTAGAAGGCACCAGCACATGCAGAACGTCATCAGAAGCCACTGGAAGGTTCTAGAAGTTACAGAAAGGGACTAGAAGCACTCACCTTGGTGTGGCTCAGCAGGATAATTCTCACCAGCACAACGTTGATGTGGGCCCCCAGGGACTCGTCGTGGTAGATTTCATTGACCTGAAATACAATCAGGGAAGGGTCAATGGAACCAGGGGACCCTCAGCCCAGCCCAGCTCTGCAGAGTGTCTGGCCCCACCAGCTGCCAGGCCTCTGCCCACCTCTCCGCCTCTCCTCTCCCTTTCTGCACCCCACTCGCCTGGGTGACGGTCACCCTTCCTTGGTGGAACCCCTCCCACCTCTACTTGAGCTCAGATGGGTCACTGAGCCCATTATTTGTTCTCACCTCTAACTGGGACAAGACTGAGATTGACCATGGACTGCAGACCCCAGGGAGAGGACGGTGCATGGATATCACTCAGCAGGGACCCTCCCAAACAGTGCTCCAGAGGCTGGAGCCATTCATGGGAATTCACAGTCAATGAGATGTTGTTCAATGCAACAACCCCAGAATGAGATACTAGAGACACAAAGGCTATGCGTGTCGGTGCTCAGGGGTTGTGCAGTGGCATGTGACTGCTATTTCCCCAGCATTTTAATATGTGCATATATAAAATAAACATATACAGATATAATATACACAGTGCATGGGTTAAGTCGCTTGCCTTGCACATGGCTGAGCCCGGTTCTATCACTGGGGCTACCATGAGAGGGCACACCTGAGCACAGAGCCAGGAGCAGCCCAATTGTTCGCACCATCAAGACAAGTAACAAAAATTGGGACCAGACCAATAGTGCAGCAGATAGGGCATTTGCTTTGCACACGACCCACCAGGATTGGATCCCCGGCACCTTATGCGGTCCCCTGAGCCCTGAGCCAGGACTAAGCCCTGAGCACCGCTAGGTGTGGTCCCAAAACCTAAATAAACAATTCATTCTATTCTTCTCAATTTAATTTGTGCTTTGTTTTGTCTTTGCGCTTAACACATCTATTATGACCAGATGCCCATGGATTCCACCAGGGACCAAAGGAGTTCAAGGCACAAAATTAAAATATAAGGTGCTGAGCGACAGCACAGCGGTAGGGTGTTTGCCTTGCGTGCAGCCAGCCCGACCGCGCCGGGTTCGATTCCTCCGCCCCTCTCAGAGAGCCCAGCAAGCTACTGAGAGTATCTCGCCTGCACGGCAAAGTCTGGCAAGCTCCCTGTGGTGTATTCAATATGCCAAACACAGTAACAACAAGTCTCAAAATGGAGACATTACTGGGCCCGCTCGAGCAAATCGATGAACAACGGGAGGACAGTGCTACAGTGCTAAATTTGCTTCAACATGACCAAGTGGGCCCTTCCCAAAAAATCCTGCAGAGGACCATGGGGTGAGGCGGGGGCTGACACAGCCTCCCTTCCCGTTAGCCCCCCCCCAGTCCCCCAGGACGCTGCTGGAACACCCACCGCCTGGAACACCCTGCTTCTCAGAGCCTCTCCTTCTGCCCCCCCACCCCCAGAGACGCAACGTTTACCATCTGTATCTTAGCAACAGTCCTTGCTCTCTGCAAAGAATAGGAAGACCCTGGGGAAATGTGAGCGTTAACCAGGAAATTCAGAGCTAGGATGGATGGGCAGCTTGCCAGACTCGCAGCCTGGCGTCCGGGGCCGGAGCAGGTGCGGCTCACCGGCGGGGAGAGGCGAAGTGCAGCGCACGGCGGGCTGCAGGGTGAGGCTAAGGCAGAGAGCTGACAGGTGCGGTGGGCTAGGGTGGGGTGGGGCTGACGTGCAGGTGGGCGCCTAGGAGCGTGCGATGGGGCTCGTGTGAGAGGTGGGAGTAGGGACTAATGCCGCAGAGCTCATATGCGAGGGTCCGGCCTTGATCCAGAGACCAGCAGTGAGTGGGAGACAGCAGCTCGTAGGAGATCTCTCGGACCCTGTACCAGCCTTCTCACCGGGCACCTCAGATGAGCGGGCGTCCCCTATGCGCCCACTCCAGAGGAACCCCCGCTGGCCACAAACTGAAGACTCCATTTAAGCGCATTAACGGCCTTGACCCAGAGACTCACAAATGAATCTCAAAATGGATTAGCTCCCTACAGCAATGTCTCCGGACCCCAATCATTTACAATTTTATGGGTTTTTTTTCTGCTTTTGGGGTCACACCCGGCGATGCACAGGGCTTACTCCTGACTCATGCACTCAGGAATTACTCCTGGTGGTGCTTGGGGGATCCTATGGGATGCTGTGGGTCAAACCCGGGTAGGCCACATGCAAGGCAAACGCCCTACCTGCTGTACTATTGCTCCGGCCCCTCATTTACAATTTGAGAATTCCAAGACTACACGGCCGCAAAAGCAGCCGCACAACTTCTCATGATATTCCTAATAAGCGATAGAAAAGAAATTTTCTAGAACCAGCCTGTGGCAGGCAGGCTTGAATGGTGGTGGGAAAATTAGAAATCATGCTGTTGGGAAGGTGTCATGGTGGTGGGATTGGTGTTGAAATATTGAATGTGATCAATTAATGTGAACGACCTTACGAAAATAAAATTTAAAAGTTAAGAAGAAAATAGAGCTAAGATGCTGGGAAGGGCTAAGTGAAATGCAGGGTGGGGCTAACACGGGGTGGGGGGTAGCTAATGGGAAGGGTGGGGTTTGCGTGGAGGGGGTCAGTGTGAAGGGTGGAGCTAAGGCAAGGTGCGCAGCTACCAACGGGTGTGCAGAGCTGGGCTGACTCGGAGGTTGGCGCAAACGTGGGAGGTGGAACTGGGGGTTGTGGGGGCTGTGGCTGTGGGTGTCAGCAGGGTAGAGCCACAGTGAAGTGAAGGGGGGTTCTCCAAGGTGGGCTCTCACGGTGTGTAGCCTGGCTAACACGCAGGGCTGGGAGGGGCCGACATACACTGTGGGCTGGCTCCCAGGACCCACCCTCACCCCATCTGGCCAGTAGTCCCCTGTCCAGGGCGTAATGGGTCCCACAAGGCTATGATTTGGTTCCTGCCTGGCCCTGGGTCTCTCAGGGAAAGGCACATTTGTGGTAACTGGCTTGGGCCTTGTGTCTGGGGAGAGTGGATGGGTGCCCACATCTGCCGGAGACCCTCTGAACCCACCACCCCCACCCTGTCACTCACAAGGTGGGCCTGCAAGCTTCCCCCACCCACAGGCTAGCCCACAAGTCCCTATAAACCCGAATCTCGGGGCCGGAGCGATAGTACAGCAAGTAGGGCATTTGCCTTGCATGCAGCCGACCTGGGTTCAATCCCTGGCATCCCATAGGGTCCCCTGAGCATCGTTGAGTATGACCCAAAAAAAAGCAAAAAAAAAATAAACCCCCCAAAAACCCGAATCTCATCCACTAGCACTGTGAGAAGCATATCCCGGTGTGGGAGGGGATGTCAGTGGCATCACCGAGGGCCCCATGGTGTTTGTCCCTAGAGGGTGTGTCACTGAACCCCGGCCCTAAGCTGAGGCTCTGTGGGGCCAGGAGCATGCAACTCTCAGGCTTCGGCATCCGGGCTTTCCCTCTCCGCCTCTGCCCCCCAGGTGTGGCCTCCACAGCTCTCTAAGCTGCGAAGAAGGGGCTCCCAGGACGTCCAGAGAGCCTCCCCCTAACCAAATATCCCCTTAAAAATAAAAAATCAGGGGCTGGAGCGATAGCACAGTGGGTAGGGTGTTTGCCTTGCATGTGGCTGACCCGAGTTTAATCCCTGTCATCCCATATGGTCCCCGAGCAACACCAGGAATAATTCCTGAGTGCAGAGCCAGGAGTAACCCCTGAGCATCACCAGGTATGACCCAAAAAGCAATAACAATAATAATAATAAATCAGAAGACTTGAAGAGCCAGCCCCCAACTGTGCAGAAGGGACCCCTGAGGCTCATGCCCCACCTCCAGAGAAGTATGGGAAGGCACCCTAGTGTCCAGGCCCATCTCAGAAACCTCCCGAGGCCGGAGCAACAGCACAGTGGGTAGGGAGTTTGCCGACCTCGGTTCAATCCCTGGCATCCCTATGTCTCATGAGCCTGCAAGGAACGATTCCTGAGCACAGAGTCAGGAGTAGTCTCTGAGTACTGCTGGGTGTGCCCCAAAATCTGAAGGAAACAAAAAAGAATTCTCCTATTTCTCTCCCATCAGCCTGTGGGACCAGATTGAAGGTCAGCACCCTTCCCCCCAAGCCCCTCTCCCCACACCCACACACAGGCTGACAGGGGCCAGGAAAGGAGACAGGTCACACACATGGTTGGCTGGGAGGGGGCACCAGACTGGGGGTCTCCGCCCTCCAAAGCAAACCCACCATCGGCTCTGGCTCCTGGGTCTCCTGGCTGCCAGCGGCTCAGGGGCAGGGGCATATAGGGGCAGCCCCAGACACCCAGGGAGAGGGAAGCTTCCAAACTCCCCAAGACTGGCCACAACGCCAGCACGCTCAGACCATCTCCCCGGAAACCTGCACCCCCTTGGCAGGCAGCTGAGCCATCCAAACCAGGCCCCGACTCTCGCTCTGCAATATAGACCGTGGGGGCTGGACGTCAGGGGAACCCCCCATTATCTACCCCTCAGCTGGTCCCTCTGAATCCCAAAGCACAGCCTCTTGCCTTCTTTGCAACACGAGGGGGTGTGGTCAGCCTAGACAGGACCTGGGGACACGGGGGGCAGCCCAGTGGGGCAGAGCCCCCCCAGGCTCCCCCATATCTGTCTGACCCTGGGTAGGCAGACGGTGCGAGGCATCTCGGCTGTTGTGTGTTCAGAGCAGCCCAGACCCCCTTTGGGGGCCCCCAACCACACTCAGTGTCCCAGCCCACCTCACAGACAGCCCAGCCTGGCCCTGGCCCCTGATCCACTGCCCGCTCCTTGGGTGATGTCTAATGTGGTAACACCCCCCTCCCCCACCTGCACCCCTAGCCTCTAAAGTCTTGAAATAGCTGAAGAGCATTTGGAGGGAACCAAAAATGCAAAGCAAAATAGATGGCAAAAGATGGGAACTAGGGGCTGGAGCAATAGCACAGTGGGGAGGGCGTTTGCCTTGCACACGGCTGACCCAGGTTCGATTCCCAGCATCCCATATGGTCCCCTGAGCACTGCCAGGGGTAATTCCTGAGTGCAGAGTCAGGAGTAACCCCTGTGCATCGCCAGGTGTGAC